GAGTTGGCTAATAAGAAACACAGTCGAGAAAAATGGATCATTTTCAGGTTGGTAAACTGTACTAGTGAGGTGTCAAAGGATCAGTGTTGGGCCTCGACAAATGTGATCTATATTAATGACTTGGATGCAGGAATACTTACATTTCCTGATGATTCAAAGTTAGGTAGGCAAGCAATGAAGAGGACATAGAGTTTGCAAAGGGATGTAGACAGAGTAAGTCTACAATTTTGGATAGATGGCATATAATGTGGCAAATATGAGGTTTGTTCTTGTGGCAAGAAGAGAAAAGCAGAATATTTAAATTGAGACAGATGATACTGTAGAGGGATTTGATTATCCTCAATGGAATAGAGTGTCAGTGTGTGCAAAAATGAAGAAATTTGTAAGAGGCAATTAAAGTTGAATATTAGTCATTGGTGGCTTTATGTCACTTTTGCTCATGAATGTGAGTTTGGTGTTCTCATTTCTACATTCTTGTTTTTCTTAGTCCATTGCTGTAACATGTGAAATAGGTATCCTGTGAATGGTGAAGTTAAGGTATCAAATAAATAGTATTAAATTATAAAGTAATTTGCATTGTGTTTATAATTGTAGTTGCTCCCCAGAGTTGTCATTTAGAAACTAACATGAAGCTAATTTCTAAAACGAAATTTTAAAGGAATCTTTTGTTGGGGAATTAAACACCTTTGCTTTGCACTTGATGTCAGCATTGAGCACTAACAATTCAGCTTAAATCAATTTTAAACAATGCACTAATATACCATTATCCTAGAAAATGATTAATTTGTTTCATACTGATAATATTTACAAACCTTATATGCACAGCAAACATTTGATCAAAATATGAATATTAAATATTAAATGACTTTGGTATCGGCAAGCTAGTGAGTACTGGTGTTGTCCCTATCAAGATGAACAGGGAAGGTTTGCAGGATGAATAACATCAGGTTGTAAAACCACCTGCCAAAAGATTATGGTTAACAGGAAGGTGATCAACCAGCATTGCAGAGATCCCAAGAAACGGGTCAACCTGAAAGAGGAAGGAGGAGATTTAGTTACGTGGCTCTTGTATTTGGGTTGTACAGTTATGTAATATGGACCCAACCCTGCTGTCATTTTGTATTCAGATTTCTATTTTATGATATGTGATCGATTGCAACTTGCTAATAAGTAACCAAAAGAAAAGTGCTCTAAGCTTCAAACGCAACAACCAAATAAAAAATTGTTAAACCCTTAACAAGCAAAGAACACTAGCAACATTTTTATTCCAGTGGTTATTAAACTTTACTGGTACTTCTGGTTAAGTCTAAGTAAAGCTGCTGTGCTAAATTAATATTCTTGCACAGTGCTCCCTTTTTCTCAAAATCTATGTAAATTTTAAAATGTGACTTTAAATGTCACAACCAAACTTTAAAATTTGAACAAACTAGGTTTAATAAGCCAGCTTTAAAACATGACTGAGAACCAATGACTAGTTGTTGAACTTTTTAGTGCACTTCAAACCAGAAATGTATATGAATAAATCCCACAAGATACTTTTAGAATGAAATAGTTTGGCCTTTCTAGCTCTCTAGATGAAGAAAATCTGAATTCACTCAAACTGAATATAATTTATGCTTATTTTTAATCCCTTAGCAGAATTAAATAAACTAATATTGTGTTAAATATTAAACAAACATTAGTTTTTTTGTCACTCGGAGTCTGCAGCACCAACATGCCTTGTACAAGTTGCAAAATGACACTTTTTATATCACTACCACACTTCAATTTACAGCAATAGATTCACCTTGGATACCAGTTAGTAATATCTATACTGATGAGGAATTCAACCACTTATCCCCTGAACATTGATACACATATAATAGTTGGAGGATAAACAACTATCTTGTTCTGTCTGGCCTACATTTTTACGATTGCACAAATGCAAGGTGCTGACTATTTTGTGTTTTATTTATATTTATCTTGGAAGTAATCTTTTAAGTTCCACATTGAAAAATCCCATTTCTGAATGTTATTTCATATTACTTGTTTAACCATTAACATTATATTGCCTATGACGTTAGTGCTCTGATGCATAGCTCCCGAAGTGTTTTGCCGACGTGGCCTGAAAATTGTCTCAATTCCTTGATGAGAGCAGAGCCTGTTAGATCAGGAATGCACATTCATTGCTGTCTCTGAGCTTGACCTCACCAGTTTGGGAAACCCTGCACTAATGTGATGCATAAGGCAAGGGAATTTAGTGGCAACACACTACAGAAGTTAGATGCTTCCCTGCAAGGCAGTGTGGAGCTGGAGGTACACAGCAGGTCAAGCAGCATCAGAGGAACAGGAAAGTCGACATTTTGGGTCGGGACCCTTCATCAGGACTGGGGAGGGGGAAGGGAGCTGGGAAATAAATAGAGGGAGGAGTGGGGGGCTGGGGAAAGGATGATGATAGGTGGATGCAGGTAGAGAGTAGTGGGGATTAGTCAGTGGGAAGGTTGGGGTTAATAGGTGGGAAAGAAGCTGGATAGATTGTGTAAGGTCAAGGAGGCAGGGATGAGAGGGACGGTTGGACGTGGGCTGAGGACGGGGTGGAGAGATTTTGAAACTGGTCAATTCTGTGTTGAGACCATCGGGATGTAGGCTCCCAAGGTGCAATTTGAGGTGTTTTTCCTCCAGTTTGCCTGTGGTGTCATTGTGACACTGAATGAGGCCCAGGATGGACATGTCACCAAGGGATTGGGAGGGGGAGTTAAAATGGTTGGCATTTATAGTGTTGATTATAGCGTACAGAGTGCAGGTGCTCCGCTTGGTTTCGACGACATAGAGGAGACCACATCGGGAGCGACGGATACAGTAAAGCGGGTTGAAGGATGTACAGGTGAACCCCTGTTGGATTTGGAACATTGTTTTGGGCCTTGGATGCAGGTGAGAGGGGAGGTGTAAGGGGAGGTGTAGCACCTCCTGCGGTTGCAGGGAACGGTGTTGGATGTGGTGGGGTTGGTGGGGAATGTGGAGCAGATGAGGGATTCGCAGAGGGAGCAGTCCCTACGAAAGGCGGATAGGTGTAGGGAGGGAAATATCTCTTTGGTGGTGGGGTCAGATTGCAAGTGGCGGAAGTGTGGTGGAGGATGATGCACCAGATGCGGAGGTTGGTGTGATGATATGTGAGGACCAGGGGACTCTGTCTGTATTTTTGTTGGGGGGTAAGGGGTTTTGAGGGCAGAAGTGCTTCCTGCAAGGGTGCACCTAGTTAATGGAGAGCAACAGAAGGGAAAGGAATTGATCATTTAGTATGCCATTAGAGGAATTGTCATTTTGGCCAATTTCTAGAACTGGGTAGATTCCATGTTCTTTTACTTAGGGAATACTGTTGTTAGAGGCTCTAAAGTCAGGAATACAAGTTAAATTGTATCAATTCAGCACGACTTGTAGATGTAGCGAAATCCTGGAAGAATTGCAGTATGTTTTAGCATTAATATATCTTCCAAAGTTAAATTCATTTTAGAATTCTGGGGAAGACTTGAATGAAGACAATTCCATATTTAAATAAGCAATTAAAATTTGTAAAATAGAATTTTTAAATCGAATGAGCTGGAGGTGTCTGGCTTAGCTATAGTAAACAATTAATGCTTATCTTTAAAATGTTGCTTGCATGTATTCCAAAGAATTTAGCCATAAGAATCACATCCTTGGACCATCAGAGATTTGATGCTATACAAGAAAAACAGCAGAAATGCAGCAGTCATAGGCAATCCTATAGTTAGAGAAATGGACAGATGATGAAACTGCTTATTTTAAGCAATTGAGGATACATCTCACTTAGACGAGGGGATATACTAATTTTCTGTAATGCTTTTTAAAGATATTTTCCCTATTTATTATATTACCAGACTTCCCTATCTCTTAGCATAATCTCATTTTCAGCTTGTGAAGGGAAATTCACAATTTTAATTCAATACTTTTACCACCCACCCCCCCAAAATCCTCAGCCTCGGCAGTATATTTCCCCTTTGAGCCCTTAATAGGCTTAACTTCTTCCCTAATAGCCACATACCTATTTT